GAGAGAGAGAGAGAGAGAGAGAGAGAGAGAGAGAGAGAGAGAGAGAGTCCATATCCCCAGTGACCTACTTTCTCTAGCCATCCCCTACCTGCCTATAGTTACTAGTCAGTTCATTCCTATCAGTGGACTAATCCACTGATTAGATTAAAACTCTCATAATCTAATCATTTCACCTCTGAAAGTCTTGCATTGCGTCACAAATGAGCTTCTGGGGGCTACCTCATATCTGAATCATAATACCAGTGCCTCCTTTATCTATGACAGGCTCAGTGCCCAGTTACACAGACCCTTTCATGCTATCAAAATTCAGGAAAATGTTGTAGGCTCACTCCATCTCGAGTCATCTGCCTCCCCCGTGGGATTAGCTAATGCATGTGTGGTCAGTGTGCACATCTCAATTTATTCCTCCATCAAGATGGGTACAAATATCAGAAGCATCCAAACCTGTAGTTAAAAAGAAAAAAAAAAACATTTTAAAATGATTATAATGGCTTGATTCATGGGCTATGAATGGTAGATAGTGATAATATTGTAGATAAATTATCAGGAGATTGAGAGTTGTGGAATGATTAAAACATTAATTTACTTACACAAAGAAAAATGACACATATACCAATGTAAAATAGATATATTCCAGGTGAGCTGATTCCCCATCTTACCTAGGTTACAAAGCAAGTCATCCTAAATACAATCTGTGATGGTTAATTTTACATATTAATTTGACTGGGCTACAAGGTGCCTAGGTATTGGGTCTCCCACTATTCTGGGTGTGTCCATGAGGCAGTTTTGAATTGACTGAGTAAAGCAGATAATTCTCCATAAGGTGGTTGAGCTTCATCCAATCAGTGGAAAGACTGACTAGGAAAAAAAAAATAAGCTAACCCTTTCTTGAGTCAGAATTACTCTTCCCTGATAGCCTTTGGATAGAAACACTGGTTTTGCTCCTGCCCTTGGACTTGAGCTGAAACCTCAGCTCTCTCTGGGTCCCCTGCCTGAAGGCCTTCAGAATAGGGCTACACCATTGGGTCTCCTGGCTCCCAGGCTTTCAGGTCATTACTGCAACTACACCATCAACTCTCCTGATTCTCAGTCCTGTGAACTTGATCCGAAACTAGACTACCAGCTTTCCAGCATGTTCACTGTGCCAACTCGAGCTGCCGATCTTAGAAACTGCTAGCCTTCACAATCACCTGAGCCCATTCTTTATAATCAATCTCTTTATTAACACAGCCTCTTTGTTCACTTTCTCTGGAAAAACTCCAGGACAGCTTCTGGTAGTGAGGGTGGTGGAAGAGAAACAGAATTTTAAGGATGTGTCTTCTGAATTGGTTTTGGGATTCCTAGAATTGGCTCTCTAAAATGATTAGATAAGACACTAATGACCATTTTCAGCAGAAACTAGAACACTAGTAGTTCACAGTATGACTTGCAGTGCAGATAAGAAGCAAGCATAATAATGACTGATTATATGATCCTTATGAATATTTTCATCCAACTAAGATGGATAATACAACTGGCCAGTTGCTCCTAATGTTACAGGCAAAGTGAAGAAAGAAAGGTCTGACCTCAAGGATTAAAGTTCCCATACCATGTACTATATAATTGATCTTCTATGTATGTCCTGGAGTAGAATCTTTTCTCCTGTGGCCAAAGGGCTGAGATTGCTGAAAACTGAATCTCCTGAATCCCTCATTACTACTGGCTGGATCACAATGCAAGCTGGACACCCAGCCTCACAGGTATCCACTCTTAAAGCAGGGACACGACTCTGAATGTTGGAATATGGGGTATGTGGAAAGACTCCAATGAGTCTAAATTGGGATGAGTCAGCAAGCTGCTTTTAGAGACTAAAATGCTGATGCTATATCAGCATCTGGAGAATTCTTTCCTTTTTCTTATTCTTCCTACCTCTTGGGTCCTTGATGTGAGATAGTCCATTAATCAAGATGGCCCCAAACCACGTGCCTCTTGGGTATGTCAGATTTGCCCTTGTGATATCAGCTCACTCCTAAGCTCTGTCTCGTAATATTGTGCTCAGATTTTGTATGGAGAGCCCTGCTCTATTGCAAATATTGTGTGATTTGTGACTCCTCTTTTTTTTATTATCAGAATTAGCCAATTAGTTTTGAGTTCTATTCTGCATCTGGGGCATTATTGAAACCATTGCTCATGCTGTATCATTCTGATGATTTATTTATATGTTCTTCTCTTATAATACAGAGATTCCTTGAGGAAAAATAAAGATAGTGACCTATTTATTTCTGAATTCTCCAGGTAACAACATGATGTCCACTTCATAGATGATTTCTTACAAGGTGGTAGAATTTCTACAGTGGTGGTAGAAATCCTTCAACATTGTTGTACCACTAGATACATAAAGAGCAAATTCAGTGGCTTCCTTTAGCACCATTCACTTGTTACCTTATTAAAGATAAACATATAAAATGGACAATTTTATAAATCCCAGCCTGATCATAAAGGGGATCATAATGATCTGATTGTAAAAAAAAAAATACACTCTGTTCATCTCAACAATAAGGAGAGGCTTTCCTAAAGAATAGAATGAGTTTGGACCAGTTTAAAGAAGGACTTTTCTCATGAATTTAACATCTGTTGATTTTCATCCATGCCCTCCATCCAGGTATCACTGACCCATCCCTGGCCTAGTGGATCCCATAATATTTTTTTTTATTTTTTATTTTTTTATTGGTTGTTCAAAACATTACAAAGCTCTTGACATATCATATTTCATACATTTGATTTAAATGGGTTATGAACTCCCATTTTTACCCCGTATACAGATTTCAGAATCACATCGGTTATACATCCACGTTTTTACGTAATTCCATAATATTTTAACTCAACTTATGCCCTTCTCCAGCCTGCTGCTTGCTCTGAAGTCCCAAGAGTATTCCCAGCACATTGCTCTAGTCATTGCAAACATACTTCTCTCTGTCTGTAGAATGGCACGGTCCTCTTGGTCTGTGGCTGTCCAGGACTACTCTTAGAACACCAGATACACTTGTTTCTTTTTCTTCTTTCTCCAGGGCCGCCATGCTTGCTGATCCCTCTACTGTGAATCCTCTTCTTCCCAGTTCAACTGTACTAACTTGTGCTTATTCAGAATATCTCAACTCTCTCAGGAAAACATACCTGATATTGCTGGGTAGCCGTGACTCTCAGGGATTAATATCTCCTGTCCTATATATGTACAGCATCCATGATGGCAACTCTGAGGTTTCCTCCTGATGCAAACAAAGGACGTGCACACCCTGGGAACCTAGTGAGTATGTGTTCAAGGGAAGAAAGGAAAACAGAAGGAAGTAAGTGGAAAAGGAAGGGAGGAAGGAAGGGAGGGAGGGAAGGAAGAAGGTTGAAATGAATAAATTGAGGATTCGCTTATAACTTTCTACATCTTTCTACTACACCATATCACAGCTCTAACACATCACATCTCTTTTGAAGAGGTGAAGCTACATATAAATGGCTAAACTCAATTGAGCTTGGGTTGCAAAAGAGTCTCCCAGCGTCCTGTTTGGTTGGTGCTTCCCAGAACTTTCCCTTGATCCATGCTGATTCCTACTCTCAAAGGGTTGGTTCTATGATGTAACTGGAGAACAAATCTGGACATTCCTCAAAAAATAAGCAGGGAAAGAACAAAAAGCTCATGTGATAGGGGTGTAAACCAAACCAAGCCCTAAAAGAAAAGACAGTTTGAATCCAAGTAAAACAGAACAGCATCTGCCGTAGCTGAGAGAAAAAGCAGATGGATTTATCTGGAGGGTAGGGACACACTGAAGTATGAAATCTGGTACCTCAGAAAAGGGTTCAAACATCAGCATCACACAAACAGGGAACCCCAGAGAGTGGAAACCACCATGACCTCATGCTTCTGCCAGTAATTGCTAGATTCTCAGTAACCTTAGTGAAACATTATGTAATATTTGCTTTTGGCATGGATATGATATTGTCTTAAAATAAACAAGACAGTGTATTAGAATAAATCTGTTCAAAATTACCCTGTCAAGACAAGCTGTAGAAAATGAAAGCAAAAGTAAAACATATTGGGGAACAAGGAATATACTTCTGGATCTGCTCAACACCAATCTAATAATTCATAAGGTCCAGTTGCTAATATATCCATTCATCCACCCCCGTCTCTTCCCCTCTAGTCTGAATTCACACTTCTGGGGGATGGTCAGATGGGGTAGACCAATGGCCCGTGGGCTCCACAACAAATTTATGAGAGTGGAATGTGAATGGCCCAAGGTGGACTAAGCAAGGGGAGACATGTCTAAAAAAACCTATGACTGAATAAAAACACCAGACCCAAAGGAGAAAATACAGAAGAATAATGAAGTCCTATGGAAATATCCCAACACCCATGAATGTTTGACTTCACTTTAACTATCACATACATGGTATCTGATGTCAAGTGGCTTCAATCTCCTTAAAATACATGTGTGTGGTGGGTGAACTTATTACCCAATATGCAGCCATCTGCCCACATTTCCACATGTGCAGCCATCGATTTAGTCCTATAAGATTAGGAGACATGGGCCAGAGGCCAAGCAAGGGGCCACTGACGCAGCCCTGCTCACCTGTATCCATGCCACACACAACACTGAAAACCTAGGAAAAGACCAGCCATTTTGTACTGTGGAATTAGCTCCATTCTGGTCATCTGCTGCATAAGATCATTTGCTGAAGGAAGGAAATTGTTTTCTGGTAGCTAGGTTAGGCAGTGTAATTAAATCGCAACAATACATTGGTTTGAAGCCACAAAGTCCTTTGGAATGAATTCCTACCTCTCTTTCGCCACTGTCCCAGCTTAGATCTCATATTTTCCCATCTGGACAAGCCACTTAAATGAACTCCATGGGGTTAGATCCATTTTTCTCTAGTGCATTCATTTCTGAATGCACTAGAGAAAATGAAACTTGGCCGTTCCATTTCCAAAGTGTTTAGTGATTCCCCGGAGTCTCCTCAGTGAATGAAGCCCTTCATCCTGAGAGTAGCCCACAGGCTCTGCCTGGGCACTGTCCCTCATCAGCTTGCTTTCTCAGGGCTCCTATACTCAAAAGATTTTAAGCTTTTCAAATTCTGTGTCATACTTCTTTTCACTTTTAAAGTTTGCTTCACCATTTAAACAGGATTTTTGGGAGATGTATGGTTGTCCACACCCAGGCCTTAATGAATTCTATCTAGCCTACACTGGGCCAAAGGCTTGCTGCTATGACACGATTTGAGAAGCAAAGGAAAACAAGGTTCAGGTAACTTTCCACGAAGAAGGCTAACTGAGATTCTCCTCCACACCTCAAAGCCCACTCTAGCAGTTAAAGCATCCTGAGAAAGTCTCAAGGTAAGAACTGACCCTATAATGAACATTTTTGCTATAATGTACATTTCAGTCCTGGCAGCAGTATGTGAGGGTGGAGATTCCCAAAGAGTGGAGCCACAGTTTTTCTAGAAAGTACTCCACCCATGTGCCTGCAAGAAGCTATGCTGTCTGACCAATGCATCTGTGAAACCTCATTCCTATTGATTCTTTATTATTATTATTATTATTTCCACTCAGTATTTATTTTTTATTTTTTTTCCAAGTTTTACAACTAGTTTTATTTTTTTTTTCTCTTAGCTTGGTCCAAAGTCTTCCTCTGTCTCTTAATAACTGTGTGGCCTTGGGCAGTTGCTTAGCTTTCCTGAGATTCTATTTTCTCATGGCAAAATGAAGATAATCATAGTTTGGTCCATAATTTGCAGTCTCATTCACAAATTCCTCTTCTCTTTAGTCCTTCCTTCAGAATCCTGCCTCCTGGTCTTCTTGCCTACAGCATCTCTCTGTAAGCTCTACAGAAAAGGAACCCCTTTCTCCTCTCTCTAATACGTTAAGCAATTCTAGAGGACTAGTCCCTTGATGGTTCTGAGAGTGTTCTCCACCACAAAAAGGGGGGTGGCTTGGACTCCAAAACCAATGGGATGGATTCAAACGCAAATGATCTCTGGGGCCCCTCATGTGCCTAAGTTTTGTGTCAAGCATATTTACATTTTGTAGTTAAACCACATTTAATTTAATTTAAGCCATCCCATCAGATTAGTGTTATTGTACCCACGCAAGGGGGAATGAAGGCTTCAAGAGGCGAGTGGCAGTTCAAATAAGTGAAATATGAAATGTGCTCACTTTGAAGAGAAACTTGGATTCAAGATCTTCCTCTGTCTCTTAATAACTGTGTAGCCTTGGGCAGTTGCTTAACTTTCCTGAGATTTATTTTCTCGTGACAAAATGAAGATAATCATATCCATCTCAGAAGAGTGTGACCATCAGCGCATGCGTATGCAGGGCAGGAGCCCAGCCCCTCGCAGCCGCTCTATCCATCTCCGGCTGCAGTGCTTGTGTTGGGATTTATTTCTCAGTTTCACAAGCCAATAGATGATACATCAATGAAAATTGAAAATCTAACAAGAGAAAAATGAGGACAAAGACTTCATGGAATAAATAAGGTGATGCTTGACATTTCTTGACGGTTTTCTGGGAAAATGTCATGCTGGAGTTAAGGGAGCTGTAAAAGGGCTCCCTGGTTTATGGAGAGGGAAGCAGCTTAGCAGCCACACCTGTGTTCCAGAGCCCTCAGGAGACGCTGGCCGCTGGCTCTGTAACTAGAGAAGCTTCAATCTAAAAACTCTGTGTAGGTTCTGAAAGCAAAAGTCTTGGTGTTTCCACCTGTCCTAGCAACAGGGTGTTCACATGGCACGGTGATGCCAGGATACCAGTGCTTCTGTCACCATGGTGTTCTCAGGTGTCTGCCACAGAGCTCCATGATGGAGGTCCAGTGCTGAGTCTCGGAGTCTGCATGAAGGAGGCTTCTGAGGTTTGTATTGAAAGAATTTATCCTAGGGAACAGCCCTGGAATGAAAAAGCATGGCCTCACATCAGGAGGTGAATGAATAAGATAAAAGACTCATGATTCTTCCCTACCCCATCCCTCTCCTCCATACCATTCTCACAATCTGGTGAATGGTCTGAGACTAAAACGTGGCATGAACCAAAGGCCAATCTCAATAAAATCCCTTTTAGTTCTAAATAGGGAATGCATACTCTTTTACTTTACAGTGTGAGAACAGAGAGGCCCAGGAGACTGTTCTAGGGGAAACCATTCTTGACGCTCCTGTAATGACTGAGCAGAGTCTGAGAGGAAGGAGGACTGCAGCCCAGCTTGAAGACATTCTGTAGCAGTGATACGAAGGTGAGAGTGTCTGAATTACCAGCGGGCCTTCAGGTAGGAAATGTTGTTGTGCTTCTGTAGTTATTTTTTGCTTGTTTGTTTGTTTTAAATCTCTGGGCCAGGTACATTTCCAAGACACTGACATGTGAATTTTTGGACCATCTGCAGATGGAATTTTATCCAGCCATGAAGTGGCAACTCTGTAGAAGTGTCTGCTCACTTAGTAAAATAAATACTTAGGACAAATTGTTGGCGGCTGAGTCGTGAGTTAGTAAAGCTCCCTAGAGGGGAAGTAGGGAGTGAAATCACACTGGGAGATGAACTGCTGCTCTTCTATGAAACTGGGTGCCTGGTCCTTTAAATAAATCCCTTGCAGAATTAGTCAGCTTTGCATCACTGTGACCAAAATACCCAACAAGACCAACACAGAGGAGGAAAGTTGATTTTGGCTTATGGTTCCAGAGGGTCAGTTCATACTTGGTCAAGTCCATTGCTCTGGACTCAAGGTACATGGTGAGGAGTGTGGCTCCATTCACAGCAGCCAGGAAGCAGAGAGGAAGGGGAAGGGACCATAGTCCAGGTGCCCCCCTCCAGGGCATGTTCCCAGTGACCTACCTCCTCCAGCCCCAACCCACCTGCCTGTAGTTATCGCCTAGTTGGTTCATTCACATTAGGCTGGACTCCTTAGGTTACAACTCTTACAGTCTAATTATTCTACCTCTGAACATTCTTTCATTAATGGGAGTTTTGGGGGACACCTCACATGGAAACTAAAACAATGTTCAGCACTCCACATTCTCCTGAATGAAGGTGGACCACTTTTCATCTCTGTCATGCTATCCTGGTGGCTGAGTGCTCCAATCTCTTTCTTATGTTTTATTTTTTATTGCCAGATTGAAAACCTGACTGTCATTCAAGACTTGGACTCTGTTATCTTCTCAACTAGATTCTCTGTGGCTTATGCCCTGATGCCTAGAAACTGACTTGGCTTCAGTGTTCGTCTGTGACTGATTCCTAGTTGTTGATGTTTGCCTACAACCCAGGTGGAACAGCAACCACTGGATTCCCCTGTATCTTTCCTCCTCTGCGTTTGGAAGCTCATCCCTTGCATGCACATTCAATTTCATGTTATCTAAAAAACACAGGATGAAAAGAAACTCTTTCAGCATATTATATTTCTCTTCAAGATGTCCCTCTTTGACTTGTTTCTCTTTTACGACTAATGACAAATAGTCTGTGCTATAGTATGGGTATAAGGTGTCCTCCTAAAACTCATGTGTAGACAATGCAAGAAAGTTTGTAGGTGAAATGATTGGATTACAAGGGCCTTAACATACATCAATCCACTGTTAGGATTTAACTGGGTGGTAACTGTAGGCAGGTAGGAAGTGACGGGAGGAGTTGGATCACTGTGGGGCATGCTTTGGGGTTTATATTTTGTCCCTGTGATGGGCAAAGTTATTTTTGTCTCTCTGCTTCCTGATTGCCATGTCCTGGGCTGCTCTCCTCCTCCACATACTTCCGCCATGATGTTCTGCCTCGTCTCTGGTCTAGAGCAATGGAATTAGCCATCTATGGGCTGAGACCTCTAAAATCATGAGCCCCAAATAAACTTTCTCTCCTCTAATTGTTCTTGTCAGTTTTTCTGGTTACAGTGACAATAAATAAATAGAATAATAAAATAAAATAAAATAGAAAAATTGACTGAAATGGTCTGTGGTGACCTATCTTACAACACAAAATTGGAGAAAAGTGGGGATGGCATGTTTTTTGCTGAGAAAAGAACATCCTGAAGAGTAATTCTATTAATGAGACCTGATCAGCACACCTTCAGAAAGTGGGGAGATTTGATCAGTTTTCAAGGCAGAGGAAACCAAAACAGTGCGGGGAAAAAATGAATGGGATGTGGGAAAGCTCACTGACTTGGTCTAAGGTAGACTCTGCTACATCTGTCTAGGTGTCTCTCCTAAGCAAGGCAGCTGGCCCCAGAGGATGGCCCCAGAGGATACCCACAAGTACACACAGCTCAGAAGGCAGTTGGGGGTCTTCTTGGATGAACAATGCCCACTGCTAGCCAGCGAAGAACCAGTTTCAGTCATGTCTGAAACCTTTAGTTTTCCCACCTAAACAATAGAAACAGACATTTATATACATGTCTGAAAGCCCTGAAACCAAGCATGGTATGTTATTAATAGTTATGGAAAAAAAAAAACAGTGGGGTTTCCAGTGAACCAAGGAGCACTTTAAAGAAGACTAAAGACCTAAGAGAGGTTTCAAGGTGCTCGTATTTCACTTCCCAGTCTCCCAGGAGCACCAATAATCCTCAGTCCATTTCCAGCTATTTCCTCAACTATTACTTCTCTACAGTCTATAAAAACACTCTTTCCTCTCACCTAATATCCTTATTGCAATTGATTTATGTCTCAACAAATTAAATGGAGTTGGCATCTGACTCACAAGGCCTCTCTTTTCTTAGGAAAGCCAGGGTCACGTGGAACATCTGGTAGTGCCTTTGCAAAGGGGACATTAAATACGTGGTTATAGTAGCTGTTAAGAGCTCTGTGAGGGAGGCTGTAAAATTCTCTCTCTCCTGATCCTCATCCCACAGGCTGTAAACATTTTTCCATGATGAACAAACATTTTTTAAGTGACAGGGCCTAATATAACTTTTCTTTAAATGTCAAGGCAGCTTTAGAAATTAGATTGAGGTTTCCAAAAAAGATAGGGCATTCTTTCTGAATGGAAATCGCTTAGAGGCTGTGAAAGCCAGAATAAGCTAAACAGAACATTTACACCAGTGTTTTAAAATTTTTTTAAAAGTTTTTACTAAGGAGGAAATGAGGCTCATGCACACTATAGTATTTACATATCATTGTGTTGAAAAAAGTTTAAACAACTGATGCTTCAGATAATACAGATAAGAAAGACATTCTTACTTTTTCAGATCGACCCTTAAGTTATTTTATGATGTCTATTCCCTCTAGTGGCTGGAACATCCTATATACATATTCATATATATGCATTAGTTATCAAGTGAAATTTTTATTTATTTATTATGCATTTGCTCAACATGAATCTGTAAGACCTGAATACTTAATCTGGGCAAGATTTAGTTTTTCCAGCACTCCAATAGGTTGTTTGTTGGGAGCTGTCCATGGGTTACCTGTGGGTCACTGCTTATGGAAGCCTCATGGATACAGACATCTGATGTCTGGGAATGACCAGTGGACAGTTCCATAGCACCTGAGGTGGGTGTGACCTGCCAAGATGTCACTCAATCTTTGATGTACCCCCTTAAATAAACCACCAGAGCCATTTTGGTTTTTGTGTAGTTCCAGAACTAGATGTATCAGGGGCTTCACATTCTGTAAATATATTTGTGAGTATTTGTACTTTGTTACTTACTAATTATCTGAGATTGTAAGTTTTAGGATAGCTAAATGAGACACTGGCCATCAGCACCCCACATAGTTGTTGGTTTGCTACTTTGCTTATTTTAATTCAAAATCAGTATGTCTCTAAAGCAATCTCTGATCCAAAAGCTCATTCTGTGTGTGTCTTCTGTACCTTGTCTAGTGGCACCCAGTGTTCTCTGCTCACTCCAACACAAAGAAGGACACTTTGAATTCATTTTGATTTGAAAACTTGTTTCTTTCATGCATTCTCAACCAGAAGAAGATCAATATTTCTTATTTCTAAATTAAAAACATAAATAGCAGGACAATGACATTTCCAGTCTTCCTATCATACGTTGCTATGACCCACCCTCAATCACCCACAACTGGAATTCAGGGTGATTCCATTTCAACATGTACTGCCATGTATGTTAGATAGAACTCATACCAGCTATGTGTGTCAGGAAAAGTGAGGAAGAGAAGTAGCATTTGTTGAGGTTTCTTTATAGATTAGGTGCTTTAGATTATTATTATTTTTTTTACTCATGCATGGGTATTCAGTTGTTTTGGCACCAAAGATTGAAAAGACTCACATTCCTACTTGTTTTTTGTTCTTGGTATTTGTGTCAAAAATCAACTCACTACATGTGTGCATATGTGTGTATATATATATA